AAAATATGGAAAAGGCTAATTCACACACACCCTTTCTCCCCTTTAACTGATGCAACATCCCATGCCCACTGGAGCATATTCAGGTCTCCTCTGGCCGTTTTGTGAGTTTTTTCCCCTTCTGCTTAATTTGCAAAAGCAGATTTTCCTGCATGCCTGTGGACTGTCCTGAACATATAGAGACCTTGCCTATGGGTGGCTTGATATTGCTGAATTTATGATGGGGCTCAGGGGCCAGCCAGTTTGCTATTAGGTATAGGGGTGTTCTAAGACCAAGGTTTAATATCTTAATTATACTTTGAAATGTAAACCGGTAGAAGTAATTAAGAACATAAAAGCCCTGTTGGATCAGACCAGTAGTCCATCTAGTCCAGCATCCTGTCTCACATAGGGGCTAACATGTTCGACTGGAAGGCCAATAACACGGCACAGAGGCCAAGTCCTTCCCCTGATGTTGCTTGCTGTATTCAGAAATTGACTGCCTCTGAGAATGGAGATTCGTTTTAGTCAGTATGGTTAGTAGCCACTGATGGACCTATACTCCGTGAATCTGTCTAATCCCCCTTTAAATCTATCTGTGCCTGTGGCCTATATCCTCTGGTGCGGAGCTCCACATTTTAAACACTCATTGAGTAAAGAGGTATTTCCTTTTGTCCATCCTGAATCTACTGCCCGTCAACTTCATTGGATGCCCTTAAGCTGTTGTGTTTTGGGAAAGGGAGAAAAGGTTCTCTCTGAGCACTCTACCCCATGCATAATTTTATAAATCTCTGTCACCATTCAGTCGTCTCTTTTCTAAACTGAAAAGTCCCAAAGTCTTCAGCTTTTCCTCCTATAGAAAGAGCTTCAGCCCCTTAATCATCTTGGTTGCCTACTTCTGTACCTTTGCTAGGTCTGCATTGTGACCCGAACTACACATGGGATTCCAAATGATACCACACCATAGATCTATAAAGGGGCATTATGATATTGGCCGTTTCATTTTCAATCCACAAGAATAATACACAATCTGAAGACAGTCTGGTATGAAAAAATATATACAGATGTGTGCTAGATGCATCTAGCACGCATCTGTATATATTTTTTCATACCAGACCGTTTTATTTTCAGTCCCTTTCCTAATAATTCCCAGTTTGCTTTTGTCACTGCTGCAGCACACGGGGCTGACATTTTTATTGGACTATCTATTACAACCCCTGAATTTTACAAATATTCTGTTTCATGGGGATGAGGCGTGTAGCTTTTGATGAACACCAGTCTTCATTCAGTTAAAAGTTGTTTGCATCTCTTGAGCTTAGCCAGAGCATTTGTCTGTTGAACATTCTGGTTGACATTTTTTATTGTTCTTGAGTTTTGATTTAGTATGGGAATAGGCAAGAATTCCTGTTGTACTGGGGTTATTTGGTTTCTTGGCCAACTTTTGTTGCCTGGATTTGCAAATCAACCAGACAGTGACTAATGTTCAGAAGATTCTGAGGAGTGGGGCCATTGTCTGAAAAAGAAAACATATGTGATTCTGTTTTGCTAGTCCCAGTTTCCTAGCGCCGTCAACCTAAATCGCCTTCAACCCCTTTTTGCCCTCTCTCTCTCTTGCTGTAGCTTTGCAGCGTCCTTTGGGATGTTTGCATTAGGTAAGTAGGTCAAAGTAGATTACTGTACTTCACTGTTCAACCAGTGCCCTAATAAGTAGATTAGATTCCCATAATGAAGGATTGTTCTGGCGAGTGTCTTATTGTAGTCTGCCTGATAGGCAACTAATCAAACATACAGTCTTCTAAAGCCATTTAGCTCTTTTATATGGTGTGGGAAGAGTCGAAGCAGCAAAGGAGAAAAATTGGAAATAGTCAGAGAGATGAATATTCACAGTGAGGCATTATGTGTCTTTCCCCATGTGGTGTGGGAAATGCAACGCTGCTGCCCATCGGCCTTTAATTAGGAGGATGGAAATAGCCTTCTCGTCAAATGGAGAAACAATTCGTAATGGTTAGGTCAAAAACATGTGGCCTAAAGGCAGGGATGGCTAACTGACAGCCCACTGAACCTTGTTTGTGGCTGTGGCGTGGCCCAAATAGATGCTTGCAGCTTATGTGAAAATGCCTCAAGCTGTACGTTTTAGTTCTGTGCACTGTTGATGGCAAGCTTTGCAAGAGGCCTGTCTGATCTTGCATGTGTATTTCTGTATGCACCCCTCCAAAACTGTGCTGCCAGATGACTTGATCTTGTAATACCTTGGGAGGAGTTGCTGCTGAGTTTGCCCCAGAGAGTTACTCTCCAAATTAAGCAGTTATTTAAAACTTAGTTTCATTGTCGTTGTGGTATGCAAGTTTCCAGACAACACAGAACTCTTCCGTGGCCATGAAGGATTCCAGACCAGTTAAAAGCTTTTGGCCCCGGTCACATGGGCCGGATAACGCGGGGGGGAGGGGAGGCTTTTTGCACCGCCACAATTCGAGCCGCCATAACGCGATCCCACGTGTTGGCGGCACACCATGGTTCCTTCCCTCCGCTCCTGCACATCAACGAGGGGCCGGAGGGAAAAGCCACGGCTGGCGCAATCACACCAAGGGACTCTGGAGGCAGCCTGTGGCAAACCGGTTGCTAGTACCTCTGAGCAGGTAGTTTTTAATCACGCATTTCCGGTGGTGCACCACAGGTTTGTCACGGGTGCGCTCCACTTCCCAGATAATCCGCCATGTACTTGTTGCTCTCCCGCGGCAAATCCTCTGCCTTTGTTGCTTAATGCCTGAAAATATTCTGTACCACTGTAATTTGGTGCAATAAGAATTACTTCTTTCGATAGTTCTGTAATTATAGTTGATGGTCTTACTGAAGATTACAACTACTCCTATAAGTGTATTACAAAAAAGGATCTTCAAAACACTAAATGCTATGTTCACTTTCTAAATTCATTAAAAGCACTAAATTATTTTAAAGTAGTTGCTGCCTGTACCATCACCCATTCTACATTAATGGCTGTTGGGAACTTTATTGCTTTATCTTCGGGAGCCAGGATATCTCTGTTCATCCTTATCCTACCTTGAAAGTAATAGAATTTTTTTTCAAATGTTGATTAGATGCCAAATTGTCTCCCAAGCAGCTGCTGCTTAGTAGTCTTCAACTTTTGTCACCAATATACCTCTCTAGATCTGACTGTCTGGTATGATAAGTCACTCACACTTGACTGATCACAACCTCTGTGTACAAAGCTGTTTGCTCCATGAGTGGAGAGTCCTTATCTGCCGGTCCTGTTCCATTTCAATCACCTATAAGAGCAAAAACACAACCCCCCCATTGCCTACAAGCTATTTTGTGCCACTTTTATATTGAAGTACCTTGAACTGGGAGGGGGGAACGACATTTTCCCCAAAGGGAGGTTTTTACCATCACTTTACCCAAACCCCCTCATATGGACCAGGTCTTATGGAAAACCTGGTATTTTCGGAGTCCATGTTGATTGACTGGTTATAACAGGGTGCCCACCCTGTTCTGTTCTAGGTGCTGGGCCAAAACATTGTTTTTTAATTCAGCCTTTTAACTTAGGGGGTTGGTCTTTTAAAATTGTTTTTACAGTCTGCTCTGACTTGAGGAATGCTTTATGAGGATCATTTTAGGCAGCTTAATATTTTGTGCTGTCTTTGTACTCTAGCTGGGTTTTTATGGTTTGTTAATTTATATCACTTTTATGCTGCTTTCTTATAGTTTTATCATGTTCAATTTTTTGACTTGCCTCCAGGAGGTTCCTGGAGAGGCAACACATATGGTTTCTAAATTTGGAATCGTGCTTCAAAGGGGAAGGGTTCAAGTTACCCACTGGTTTCAGTGAAATAACTTGTATGATTAAATTCATGGCATAAGGCAGAAATAAAGAAGAGTAGGTAAAATGATTGCTTTCCTCCCAAACGTTGTAAACAAGCAGACTTGGCGGTAAGAGAGGGAAGAAAATGGTCGGGGCCTTAGATGTGCTTTACTGTCTGCAAGGATCTTTAAGAGAACTGAAAAGCCTTTTGAAAAATGGGTGCCTCTCTCTGCTATGCTCACATAATCATCAATCTGTGCTCCATCGGAGAAGAGCAAGTGTTCTTCCAAACCATTTCATTTGTTAACAGGCCTTTCAAAAAAGGCAGGAGAAATCTAAAAAGTATTCTCAGCCAAAGGAAACTGCTTCCAGAGGGTGAGCCTAAAACTCTCACAGATTAGGGAAGGGAAATATGAAGCTACCTTGTTTATAGGGTTGCCAGGGTTCTGGCGGGGGGCTCTAGCCCTGCTCCTGGAGTCTTCTTGCATGTGCACCACAATGAGGTCACCTGGAAGTGATGTCGTCATGCTGGGCACATCATGTGGGGGACGCTCTAGCATTTTGGTAAAAAACTCTATGGTCACCGTAGAGTTTTTACCCAAACGCTAGAGTGTCCCCCACACAATGTGTCTGGTGCGACGGTGCTCTTCAAGGGTGGGCCTCCCCTTGGCCGGTGGCATATTGGGGGGCCAGAAAATGGGGAAAACCCCACCCCCATTGAGGTGTTGGCAATCCTACCTGTTTAGAATATATTCTGAGAGACCTTGCAAGAAAGTTTGACTACAATTGTTAACTTCTTAGGCCCAGTAAACAGGAAATAGTGAGAAAACTTCAGTTTGGTTAAGTTTCTTTGATTTTTAACATTTTATGTATACAAACCAAGTACATATAACCATGCCAGTTCTGCTTTTGGTGAGGGAGTATCTCTTTTTGTTTAAGTTGTGCGCAGTGATTGATTATTAAGCCAGTATTAATAACAAAATTAATTTATGTGTGTGTGTATGTAGCTGGTGTTGTTTGAAGGATGTTAAGCTAACAGTTGAAAATTAAAGCTAGTTTAAAAGTGTATGGGAAAAAGGTGGTTGTCATCTGCATTATTATGTACAGCATGTGTTCTTCCAAAGGGTAAGCACTGAACTTGAGAGTTCAGTTTTTTAAAAATCAAACTCTGGCATCTGATGACATCTGATTTCTTCCTTGATTGCAGTTTGGTGCAGAATTTCGAAGATTTTCTCTGGATCGTTATAAGCCAGGGAAATTTGAAGACTTCTACAAACTTATTCTTCACATCCACCACATATCCAACATGGAGGTTATGATTGGATATGCAGATATCCACGGGGATCTTCTTCCTATTAATAATGATGACAACTTCTTCAAGGCTGTCTCAAGTGCAAACCCATTGCTTAGGATTTTTATACAAAAACAAGGTAAGATGAAACATTTTGAACGTTTCAAGGCCTACCTTGTCCAGCTTCCAGTTTTGAAAAGTGACATTGGACAGTAGAGTCCTATTGTTTTGGGTCTTTAGTCAGCATGCTGGATTGGAGTGGGTAAGCTATTACCATTGAGGGAAGCAATAAATGTATCATGAGACAAAAGTCTGTAGTGAATCATATTTTAATAGCATGTGGGTAGAACAATTTGCATTTTCCTTCCATTAACATGGCAGGTGTCAAGCTACTATTATTCAAGATGTTGCAATCATTCAATATTCTCATTCTGAAATTCCTCTCAGTATGTGGAAAACTTTAACTGATCCTTAAAAAGTCTTCATATGTATGGACTTGGAAATAGGTGCAGAATCAATGCTAGATGCAGAACCAATGAGGTTTATGTTTTCCTCATCTTCCCAATACATCACCACCACTACCCCATGAGGGTTGGATAGGGTTACAAAATCTGTCCACTTCTGCATTACACAGTTCCCTCTGCTCTCAGAATCCTAAGTATTTAAGTAAATCTCATTGAGTTCAGTGGACTTACTTCCTAGTAAGTGTACTTAGGACTGCAGCCATAATTTACTTGCCTAATTATTTGTTTCTCTCAACCATTTTAAAACATTTTAGCAATCCAGAGCAGGTTAGCTAAAGCATGTTGGAGCTGTTGTATTCCAAAGCATGTTTGAGGAGCAACAACTGTGTAAACAGAACAAAAGGGGAACGGTCAGTCCAAGTTAAGTAATCTAGAATAGAAGATGTGAAGCAATACAAATAAGAATTAGCTCTCTCAGACAGAATTGAGCAGAAATAGTAGGCATAACAAACAAGCCAGTGTGGACCTTCTTTGCTGTGTGGACAAGGATTAGTATTGTACCATGTGCCAGTCTGTGTGTGCATTCCTCTTTTTAACATGGGTTAATTTATACCATATAGTATATTTACCGTCCTCTGATTTTTCACAACTGAAGTGTGCAAATACATGCTTCATTGCAAAAGTGTTGCTGTTTCATGGACTGGTTTGTGTAGTTCCACCTCTCAATTGCATAGACTCATCCTGGATTCTGTTTCCTGGTCAGATATGGCTAATGTTGGCATATGTTGGCAAGCGGGCTAGTAATGTATTGCCTTGGATCATAAAGATCAGCATCTTATTTTGTTACACCAGTCCCAGTTTCATTTCACTGGTCTTTCTCCAGGTCAGTCCTTTATGAGGAACAACCCCTCCCCCATGCATTTCCTAACTGAGTTTAGATGTGGTGCCGGAATGTCAGAGCCTAAATGAACTTTGATCTCCCATTGCAGGCTTTTGTTACTCCAAAAATGTAGAAAGGGAAGAGGAGTGGAAGGAAACTTAATGTGAAATAAGCACATGGATGTTTTTGGCTTATTTCTAGTTTGGGCAAGATGGAATATTGCACTACAAGGGATGGCCAACATTAAATCTGGCTGTTGGAGAAAATATAAGCTTCATCTTCTTCTTCCATTCCTCTTGTGTATTCCTTTACTAGCCATTATAACTTTATAGCTGTAGTGTTCAACTTTGTGTCCTCAAACATAAAAGCTATAGATTGGGGGGGGGGGATGATAGCTATGTCTGCAGTTTGTAAACAGCTGTATTTAAGTGTTTGGTTTGCAATGTCGGTGGTTATTGTTTTGTTCTTTTCTTGATTGTGGACCAAAGCCCTTAAGAATTTTAAAGTACTAAATGGGAGTTCCTCTGAAATGTACCTCCCCCATTGTCACTTGGCATTCTGGCTGAGCAGGTTGTGACTAGATTACCATCTTGGCCCAATGTTCCTCTCTCACCCTAGCATCAAGGCAAAGGCACAGGTGTTGTGCGCTGGGGTTCTTTCTGCTAAGCATGCTGAGCCATCAAGACTGCACTTGGTTATAGGAACAGACTTTTTCCCGCAGGTGGAGAAGTCAATAGTATAGAAGGCTCTGAGTTTAAATCTCAACTGATTGGGTGGCCTTGGGCTCTCTCTGTATACTTCACTCTTGTCCTTTAGCTGCAGAGTGGCATGATGCCTTCCCTCACTGATGTGTTCAAGAAGGAGGTATTATCTGCCTTGTGGATTAGTACAGGGGGGACAGCTGGATAAAAGCACACGGAGAGGTAATGTGAGACCTCCTGTATTTGCTTCTGCTGCAGATAGACACACCTTATATCTCTGAAGAGGTACACTTTGGCTTTCTTGCTGCTGTTTCCTAAAGATCACTCAGGCATTGTAATGTTCTTCATTATCCTTGTTCTGCCATGATTCTTGTCTGGGTGACTTTGAACCAGCCCCTCCCTCCCTCCAATCTCTCCTTCTCTCCTTAACTGATTTCACAGGATAGTTGTGTGGCTGAAATGGAGTACTGGAAAACCACCTATCATCACCTTGAGTTCTTTGGAGGAATGGCATGATAAAAATATATTAAGTAGATACTTATAAGTTGGATTCTTTTTTCCATTTCTGTCATGGAAAATGAATGAGTCTGTTAACTTTGGCGCAGGCAGACATAAGTTAACAAGTTTTCAAGCTGCTGACTTCTAAGTCAATAGTTCTCAAATGGTAGGTCAGGGCACAAAACTAGGTTGTGACTAGGGATGGGCACAGATCAGGAAAGCCCAGCTTGGGGCTCGTGGACCAGGTGGCCCTGAGCCAGAACCCCTGCTTGAACTGGACCAGCTCAGGTCCCCCTGGCAATGTGCTCATGTCACTTCTGGGTGGCAGTGGGCACTGCCCCCAGCCATCTGCATCATCCGGAAGTGACGCAAGTGTGTCACTCCCCCCACGTGCTTACATCACTTCTGGATGGTGTGGAGCACTGCCCTGGTGCACCCATGTCACTTCCAGATAACCCAGAGGGGGCAAGGGCAGCGCCTGACACCACCTAGAAGTGGTGTGGGCATGTCGGAGGGCCAAACAACTGAACCAAGCAGAAGCTCTGTGAGTGTTCAGGAAAGGCTCCTGTTTCGAACCTCGGTTCGGGGTTGTCTCAAACCAGGTAAAGTTAGGCTCAAGTTTGGGTCTGTGCCCATCCCTAGTTGAGACTTTTAGGTTGGGAGGCCAGGACGAAGGAGGAGGGTAAGCTGGAAGGGGAGGCTCTAAGCACTCAATGGCAAATTTGAGTTTGTCTCTGCATAATGTACAGAATGGCCACAAAATACAGCATGTTGCTACTTAATATTATAGATGTATCAATAATTATGAAAATTAAATTAGAAACCTGTTCAGTGATTATATTACTGCATTCTATATTGGGGATAGGGGAGGTAGCATGCAGTAAGTTTAGAAATGGACCCATTTAAAAAGTTGTTCTACTTGGGAAATATATGTTTATCTCAAGCAGAAATGACACCCTTGCATGGTAGTGAACAGTTAATCACCCCAAGTCTGTGCAAGTATTAGGATCTGCATAGAAAATAGTCGAAGCAGAGTTACAGAGCATTAAGAGCTGCAGGTTATTTGTCATAGCCTTTTCTTATCCTGTTTCGTTATGTGCTTCGTATCTTACCCATGCCAACCTCAGAATGGTCAAGCTATGGCTGCTGAGATGGGACCACATCAGATCCCTTCAGAACCACTATGAGCACTTGCTGTTTTGTATGATGTAAAGTATACCCTGAAAATCTTGTTGGTGCTACTGGATTGAATCTAACCATTTAACCTGAAACTCTTTCCATACTAGTAGGAGTCTTCTGCATGATAAATTACGGACTCAAAACTGAGAAAGTGACATAGGGAACTTAAGATAGAGGTGACCTCCTGAAGAAATCAGGGGGAAATACCTGTTTTGCTTCCCGCTCTAGGTTAAAGTACAAGAAGGGTCTCAGGTTCAATCCCTGGCATTTCTAGTTCAAGGATCTCAGGTAAGAGGTCTTAGAAAAAGACTTTTCTCTGCCTCAGTCACTGGAGAGCCAGTGCTAGTCATGGTAGATGATACCAAGCTAGATCTGATTCTGCATGGCAGCTTCCTATCTTCTGAAATCTGCAGTTTCCGTAATGTAGACTTTACTGATCACTCTGATGTGCTGGATCCAAAGTAGGCTTTGTTGGCTGTCATCAAGATGAGATTTACAAGAGCTAAAAGGACCGAGCAGAATATTTTAAGGGGTTAGTGGCATTAAACAAAAATAAAGCTTGTAATTCCAGAGATGGTCTTTCAGTTAATTTTTAAGCTCTAGGAGCATGGTGTGTCTTAATGGGTTTTGTTCTTAACTTACTGTTGGGGCTCTCATCTGACTAAAGGCAATGGTTTAAATAGCTGAGCTGGCTGAGTTAGTGTTGTCGTTGGCAGAGGGTGGTGAATCTGGCATAGGGTGAGACTTTCACATCTGATCCAGGAGACTTTGATGAGAGAAGTGCCTTCCTTTCAAGGTGGAAGAATACCTTATTATTCCACATGCTTGTTTAGAGAATGCATCCTTGTAATTATTCTAGTATGACTCGCTTGTGTACACAAGTTAGAAATGAGATTAATTAATGGCACCCAAACAGAATGAATGAACGAGAAGGTACAGTTGAGTCATCATAATGTAACTGTCTCCTTCTAAACCGCTTCTGAGAGAACTGGAAACAGGGATGGGCATGAAACCCCCCCCCCAAAAAAAACACAGTTTGGTTCAGGAGCCCCGAACTGAGCCTACTCAAAGTTTGGTACCCCCATTCTCCCAGCCACGACGACCCTCTGCCAGGAGAAAGGGGGGAATGCCCAGGAAGGGTTAAATGGCTGCCAGCCATTTAACCCGTTGGTTTCACTTCACCCCTTCGAAGGGGGGGAGCAAAACTGAGAAGTTTAATGACTCCCAGCCATTTAAACCTAACAGCTGCCCAGGTCCACTCCCCCCTTCAAAGTCTCCCCATCCCCCCCCCACCAAGAGGTTTAATGGCTTGCTAAAGGGGCCTTCTCTGAACAATAGTTCGCAAACTCCCAACCGGCCCAAGTTCGGGCCAAATTTCAGTTCATGAACTGGTTCGTGCCCAGCTCTACCTAGAAAC